GCCAATGTATTGATTGATTAATCAAAGCAATGCATGTCATGAATTCTGTTTCTGTGGCACACAGTCATAAAAAAGAAGACATAGATGTAGCTGTTTAGTGACTTTTCTTGCCAGATCGTTGCATGTTGGCGACAGTTTTGTATCACGATAACCCCCACGAAGTCACTTCTGAGTCAGACAAATAGAGTGTTGGAATAGCAATACAGCTTTTCAAGAGTATGAACTCACCAAGCAATGGGCCATCCAGATCACAAACCAAAACAAAAATGCAGCTTGGGGTAACTATGGCATGTAGCTGGTGAACCCAGATCAAATGCAATAAAGGGAAAAGGTATTTTAAACTTCGGAAACTTCAGGAGAAATGGAATGTTACTGATCTGAACTCCCACAAGGCAGCCAAATGGATGCACTTTTACTCTGTTTTGAAATTAATTCCAAGTCCAGGGAGCAGAATACATAATGTCTGTAATAATTTCAGAGTGAATCCCAGGGAAATTAAACATTAAATCTGGCTGAGATTTCACATTATAGGAATTATCGAATGTGTGCCATTAGCAAACATCATTCAGCAACTTACTGTATCTGGAGCTGCGAGGTTTAAACAAAGACTCCAGTGTAACATTTCACTTATTAGGAGGCGTGACCAAACAATCAAATTGCCACGAAGAAAATGGGAGTTCTAAACAGCCTGCTGGTGTAAATAAAACTACTCTCTGCTGTGCCTTAGGTGTTGCCCTCTTTTGGGTACCTTTCAGTCTGAAAGCCAGGGGAACGTGTAAAAAGTTAAGTTTAACAGTCTCTTTCTGTGGAAATAAAGATTTCTTTTAAGAACTGTGTCTTCCTTTCCTTCTGTTGCCACTATCCCATTCTGTTTCCAAGTGCTCAGTCTCTCTCTCTTTCTCGTTCTCTCCCTCGCTCCTTACAAATAGTTTATCTTCCTTGAAATCCTTATTCTAGAACAGAAAAAACCGGTAACTTGTAGCTTGCAGGCTGAGATGGTTACTTACTTGTAAGTCAGCTTTATGAACTTGGATGACTGACAGATGGCCAGTTCTTTGTTTAAACTCCGACTGAATTAATTTCGCCCAGCTCCCTTCATTTTAACGCTACTGTGTCTCCACACAGTGGTCGAGGACCTGCTTCGTGCACACGATCCCCCATCCTTGACATCTCTGACAGACCTCCGAGGTTGAGGGTACCGAGAGGCTGCCGGCAGTCCACGCTGGGCACCAGCTCTGACCGGTCATACACTGCTGGTGAAGGAGTGGGTTCTGGCTTCCATGGTGTTTCTGGGGGTCAGTGATCTCTGGCCTTCCACAGAGCTTCTTGCCCCCGGCACCCCACCCACCGCACCCCCTCATTCCCGGAGCTAACCATATAGCTAGTGTAAGGCTGAGAATAATCAGACCCAGGTCGCATCTGGTCCAGTCCCAGGCATGCCACGTTTCTGTGGACCCATTCGCTCAGGTGGTGAACACATGGTGAGCTTTAGGGCTTTGGTCTGGGGTCGGGTAGCACCCGTCTCTGTGGCTGGCAGACAAGTCTGCCATTGGCTTCATGGGGAACCAGCCCACTGAGGATGGACTGTGGTGGTCCTGAAAGGGGACACAGAGCAGCTCAAAGTTTACAGACACCTAATACTAAATGTGACGAGTATGTCTTTGGAATGCACCCCAAATCAGTCCATGCCGTTGGCTGAAAACTTTCTTGGTTGTGTTTTTAATAAGTGGCCTTTTTCTGGGGAGAGGAATGTAGTGACAGGCAATTGAACAGTTGCCAAAATCTGGGCTGTGTGGTTGATGGAGGTGGGAAGGTGGTGGTTGTTTCCAGCTCTTCCCTCCTGGGCTGTAGCTCTCTTTGTATGGCGTATGAAGGGATCCTTTCCCTTTTTAAAGCCCCCAAGTCTTTAATGCACACAGGTATATTGTAACTTGCAGTCTGACAGCAAAATAAAAGTCACGATGTACGGCGCACTGCCTCAGTATATTTTTTCCATGTGTGACAATGTGGAGATGGAAACCCTTTTAAACTAAGCAGAGAGCACCCAGGAGCTAAATCCAAAGCACATAAAACAAAAATCCCAATTTAACAAGTGGAAGGAAATACCACATTCTAGCTACACGATACATAGCATTCAGAATTTTATTTTCTGCTTTTCGGAGAAAACCTCCCTGAACTTTAACCCTCTGTGACTCGCGGAACCACAAACTCGGTCGTTGCCCCCAACCTCGGGCCCCTTTTCCCGGATGCAGCCTGAGCCCCGTGCCTCGTGTGACGACCTGCCAGCCTTACCCGCTCCGTAATCACCAGCCCTTCTTTCCTTTTCCCCGGGATGGAATGTTTTTTCAGCTGCTGTCATTCCTCTCCAGGGTCTAGCAAGAGGAGGGCGTGTGCAACGTCGAGAAAAGGGCTTCAGGAAAACAAACTATCTGGGTTGCCTGAAGGAGTAAGTTAGTTGGAAATAATGACACCACTTGGAGATAAAATTCAACAGCATCTTTTCCTTTTCATTTAACACATCGCTGGGTTACCCAGAGTCTGACTTCAGTGCATTGCAGATTAATCTTCTCCCCCCGTTGTACTTCACCTTTAAGGAAGTGTCCACATCTGGACGCACTGACTGCTTTGCTGACACTCCTCCAGGGCAGAGCTCTTGGTGCATAGAGCAGCCTAATTAGCAGAAGGGGGGAGGGGCAGAACTTCCAAGACGCCTTCTAAGAGTGTCTAGCCAGATGGAAAGGATCAGCATTTGCTTAAATGCAAATATCCCTTATATATCATTGCACTTTTCCTAGGAGATTTTCCTAGGAGAGTGGATCGCTTGGAAACTATTTGTGACCTTTCTTGTGGGACATAAAGAGTTGGAATGGCTAACATTTTGCATCTGCCTCTCAGAACCCTATAATGAGTCTTATTTCAGCTTGCCCTCTTTTCAGATTTGGTTAATATTCATCCAGTTTTTCCATAATAAGGATCAAGAGCCAAAGCTCTTCAGGACGCTTCTACCTTACATCCAGATCAGAATATTCCCCTTAAGGGCAAGTGAAGGCAAAGGCTTTGTTTGGATTCAAAGCAAAGTGTAAGCTTTGGCCATTCTTCTTGTTACTCTGTTTCTAGCTTGGCCTAGTCCAAGTCCCTAGAGCTATAATTAACTTGGCCCCTTGCCATTTATATGTTTAATTGGGCCAAGTGACATTAGGGCTTGAGAAGCTCTTTTGTGGAAATGAGTAAAAGCAAGTACCTTTCCTTTATAGCTACCCTGAACCAATAACTAATGATCCCTTTTTTATTTGCAGGATGCATTCATTTCAAGAGCGTCCAAGCTCAGGTATAGAACAATGTAAAACGCATAACCGTAGCTACAGCAGTTACTCCAGAGTTCTGAAGAGCAGCCGACAGAAATTGGTAAAGGTACCTTTGGACATCTGACCACTTTTTGAAGCATTCCTTCGACGACCAGTTTCCAAATGCATCTGGTCCCCGAGACATTCTGTGGGTGGAGGAATGGAGGGTGTACCAAGCCTAGAGTCTACTTCCTCTCTGCCCCCGAATGACCCCGCCAAAAGTTAAATCTCTTGGGAATTAATGAGGAAACCAGTAGCATAGATGGTCTATCAAAATAATATTGACGTCCCTCCTTTGATAATGTGGAGCTGTCACTGTCTGGCTTTTCTTGCTTCCACAAGTGGCGGTGTGACTAGTTTTCTCCAATAAAACATGAGTAAAGGGGATATATAAATATATAGTAAAGAGTATATCAATGTATATGTAGATATATCTCTATGTATCTATATATAGACATATGTAGATATATATAGTCTCCTTCAGGTTAAGACTTTGAAGTAGATAGGTTTTCACAATTCTCTTTTCTTCCTCCACTGGCTGGAAGCAGAGGCCTCCAAAGGCCTAGGGGATGGTAGCAAGACAGATGAAGGACCTGAATCTCTAAACCCCACGTGGAAGAAAACCCCCGAAAGACCAAGAAAACGCTCATTGGATTGTTAGGTGGGTGGGAAATAAGGTTTACTGTGTCAAGCCACTAAAATTTGGGGGCTCATTCATCATTTTGGCCAGCATCCCCCTAATACACTAATAGGATGGTGTCCGAGTTTTATAACTTTTTTTTTTTTTTAAGTGGACTCCACACACACAGCATGGAGGCCAACAGGGAGCTTGAATTCATGACCCTGAGCTGAGATTAAGAGCCTGATGCCCAAAAGACTGAGCCACCCAGCCACCCCTGATTTTTATAATGAATTAATCATTCATCTGAGAAAAGAGCATAGATATTTTTCTGTGAACATTCATGGCCCAAGATGGTGGAGAACCTCCTAGATGGCCACTGAGACCGCCAGATCGTGATTCAAGGGCCTGTGTTCATTTTCACGTTTGTACTGATTTACGGTTGCCTCATCTTGCCATTAAAATGGCATATAAAAATTGGCAAATGGAGCCCCTCTTTGGGATATGAATCTGCTTTCTCAAATCTGAGAGCACCAGTGTGTCTTCTTTGATGTTCTTCTTCTTGTAGAGATGGTAGAGGTAGATGTGGCAAGTCTATGTGCTGCACGTTCATCCGGAGTGAGCGGAGCATGAGTCTCAGCTTTATGAACTGAGGCATTGGCTTGTGTCCAATGAAGGGCTGCTACAAATTCCAGTGAATCTGGATCTTGTACACTTTCCGGGTTTAGCCAGGACCTACAGAAGAGGCCTGATATCTGTCACGGGAATTTGCTTTTGTGAGGAAAATCCTAACCTAGGTCTGAGACAGTAAAAATTATAGTTAAATTCAGTCACGTGGGTTACTAATAGAAACCCATGTGTGGTCACTGATGCGTTTTCCACAATAACTCTAATTTTCAGGAGCACAGATGTTAAACTGCTCTATCTCTCCAGATGTGCTCACACAGGGGTCCGTCAAAATGGAGTAGTCTGTGGTCTAAAACACGCTGGCCTCTCTGAGAACAGAGAGTTACTTACTTATTCCGGCTGTCCGGCATCTTTGTGTTTCCTCCAACAAAGATCAAAGCAGAGCTCTTAATAGGTGTTTGGTTTAAATTTAGAGACATACAGTATTTACTCCCATTGGCACTTGCTCTCACCTGTGGAGATAAACTGTGTTATTCCGCTCCCAGCCCACACGGTTTCCATCTGCGTCTTGCCCACCTTGGTGTAATACCTGTTTACTGTGTGATGGTCCCCAAGTCCTGGGAACACCTCACGCGGAGTGGTAATAGACTGAATTTTGTATTTGCTCTTTTTTGTTCAGCTTGTGTTAACACCATCTAAAAATGAACACAAATCCATTGAAAAATATTCTTGACTAGACCAAGCCTTATATATTGTCAAACCAGCTGAGATGGGAAAGTTTCATGGTAATTGCTTAGAATACTTATTTTTCCACACTTAAGTTTTTATTTTTTTCAAAATAAACTCTGATATAAAAAATGTATTTTTTCAGGGAACCATTCTGATTTTTAAAAAAAAAAGACTTTATTTAGTTGACAGAGAGAGAGATCACAAGTAGGCAGAGAGGCAGGCAGAGAGAGAGGGGAAAACAGGCTCCCCACTGAGCAGAGAGCCTGATGTGGGGCTCGATCCCAGCACCCTGAGATCATGACCTGAGCTGAACGCAGAGGCTTAACACACCAATCCACCCAGACACCCCCCATTCTGATTTAAAAATTTTTTTAAAATTTTTTATTAACATGTAATGTATTATTAGCCCCAGGGGAACAGGTCTGTGAATCACCAGGTTTACACACTTCACAGCACTCACCATAACACATACCCTCTCCAATGTCCATAACCCCACCACCCTCTCCCTTCCCCTCTCCCCCTGGCAACCCTCATTTTGATTAAGAGTCTCTTATGGTTTATCTCCCTCCATCCTGACTTATACAAAATATATTTTGAGTGGTCTCTCTCTCTTTTTTTTTTTTTTGGTTTATGAGGGGTAATAATTCTTGTGATGGAGATTTTTATGGGATGATGGGCTCAGAGCTCAGATTCCCTTTTATGAAAGAAAAAGAAGAAAAGTCAACATTCATTCATTGACTTAATTCAATTAATAAAGGCTTATGGGGCCTACTGAAAGTGCCAAACATAACGTAAAGAGGCCCAGTCCCTCTAGGAGTAGATAAAAACTGACATGGTATGTGTTATAATAGGACTTAACAGGAAGTAAGAACAAATCATTGTTAATATGTTATAAAAGGAAGAGTACAGAACTCTAGAGGCTTCTAGGGTATCTGTTGCTTCTTCCTTTGGAGATGTATTCCTCAGATTAGGAGAACCCAGGAATATTATAAAATTTACATGCCATTTGAGCACAGTATTTTTAAAGTGCACTGAGTTATAAACCAAATATAATACATAGACTAACTTGACTTTCAGACATTAAAGAATCTGAGATTGGGATCAAGAGTGAAGTTCCTTTCTGAGTTGGCGGATTCAGGTGAAATGCACAACAAAAGTGGTACAACACCACACCAAAATTATGATAATGTTGAAGTCCTGATAATGATAATATTCTGCAAGAAAAAGCTTGCTGGGGGTTGAATGGATTTTACTCTTTATCAGGTACCCTTCTTCTCTCCCTTTCTCTCTCCCTGCCTCTTTTTGTAGAAAGCAACAGGACTTAGAAAGGGAAGAGTAAGTTTAATTATGCTGCTGCCACTTAACACAAAACAAAATAAACGAAAGGAAGGAAAACAAAACGAAGGGGGGAAATAACTTGCACTTGCCTTCCACCATCGTTTTAAACTGGACAACACAGATGGTGATTATTTGAGTGTGAAAATTGGGTTGTAAAATGAATATCTCCAAAAATGTCAAGAGTAAATGCCCTTTTGCAGGCAAACATGGTACTGAATGGGTTCCAACAGCACGTTGCCCAAGGCGCTTCCTTCCATGTAAATCGAGCTTAAAAGAAAATTTGTCTCTAAGAGAGAGTATCTGACAGTGCCAAGGTACACTTCACTGAAAAGCAAAGATGCTCACGGGTTCTTGAGTATTTTATGGTTTACGATTGAGGAAGAGGTACCAGGTTCGGGTTTTGAGGTGTAAAGAATCCGCTAGAACAGTTAGTGGGATTGGGTATTTCAACAGCCAAGCTGATCTCATTCATCTTCTCCTTCTAACGGAGACTGAGAAAAGGTAGGAAACTTGGTAAGAAAAATGGATTCATCTCTAACAATGCAACGATCTCCTTTTAAAATAGCCATGCAATCTGGTTATGAGTTACAAATTTTATGAGTAAATCCTTGGAAGCTGTGGCCTTCATTTAGATACACAAGAGATGGAGGTAATGTAAGAGATGGAATTTTGTAATGAAACGTGGTGCAGATTCCACACGAAGCTGTTACTTTCTCGTGTGTGCTGCTGCAGAAGGAGCTCTGGAGAGGCAAATAGGCACGTGATGGGAAAGGACCCAGAAGAAAAACTTTCAGTCAAAATCCAGAAGGAAAAAAGTCAGTTTCTTCCTTGCCCTAATGGCCTTTCCTTCTTGGGAATTGATAGAGAAAACTGAATAAGGAAGCAAGGGCTAAAAATACTCTTTTCTTTTTAATGACATTCTGGGGTGGTTCACTCACTTTAAGCTATCTTCATGGCCCTTTGGGTTTCTAAATAGATTTTTCCCCCTGGAATGGTGCAACATTTCCCTTCTAGGCCATGTAGAAGTGGATGAGTCTAGAATTGCTGGAACCCGCACAGGCGGGAAGCCAGGGGAAATTTCCACGGAGCCAGTCCCAGCTTTCTTCCCAGGGAAGGACTGACTGTCCAGCATCCTGGATCCCAGTGGGCTAAACATACTTATGTCTTGGCAGATGTGCATAAAAATCCAAGGCCAGGGAGAGGGTATAATGGGAAAAGAAAGACTTCTGGGAGATGGCAGCTCTTACCATCTGATGGGAGCTCACCTAGGTCATGCAAAAGTAAATCAGAGATAATGGGTAAGAGTAAAGTTAAGACCAGCTCCAGGCCTCAAGAGCCCAGTGAGAGGCCAGGCTTCAGCCTCCTAGCTGTGCTGCAGGGTTAGACTGTAGTTCCTGCCTGAGAGCTGGAGGAAAAACCGGACACCAGAAACCAGGGTAAAGGGCTAGTTAGAGCATACACAGGGGATAAGCAGGGAATCCCTGACCAGATGCTCCCAGAAGTGCTTGGTTGCCTAACTCCATCTCCAAGGTACACTGGACAATGAGCCCAGAGCTACTGACTATGCGACACTTAATTTACTGGTGAGGAAGACCTCCCACTATACCACCAGAACTGGCTTCTCTAATCAGGCTGGGACCAGGGCAAGCTCGGTCTGCAGGTGACAGATGCCACTGAAAGTGTGTGTGTGTGTCTCGTGGGGAGTGGATGGTAGAATTCTGGGTACACCCTGAATTAGTAACTGCTTAAGAAACATTGGAAACATTTTTCTAAGGCCTACTATCTGAAAACACTACTGCTGTTCATTCCACCAAAGAAAGGTTGCAAGACTGATCTTATAGGTGGGGAAAATAAGAGGAAAAAGTTACAATTGATCTCTTCTAAATTTGCTTTTCTATATGACCTTTGTTTATTATGCATCAAAATATTTTATTTTCTTGATTCCTACATCTACAGATCTTTTAAGAGTCTAATATATTGTGGAAAAATATTTTAAAGGCTTTGTATTTCTGAGAAATGCTTTGGTGTATAGTCTTTTCCAGAATTTCTCATTATTAGTAGTTCATCACCAGATTAATGCTTCATACAGCTCGAAATTAATTGGGTAATAGGCTTTTTACTTTCAATAATCAGTTATTCATTCTGTTAGGCATAGGGAAAGATCGTGAAAAGAAGTAGGTTATAGGGTTGACTCTTATGTTGCAGTTGACATTGTTTCTCTTCTGATTTGTTCAGCCCATTAGAGTTTATTTCAGGGAGTTCTGTCAAAAACAAACAAAACACTAATACAGCCCCCGCCCCCAAAAAAGAAACCCCTAAAACCAAGCTAAGAAGGCAAAGGCTCAGGGAGATAAAGACAGCCTCACTAATGAGTCCCCAACTGATTAAAAGTAAATACATTTCTATTCCTAGAAAAGTATAAGTAACATTTGTTGCCACAAACTGTTTAACTTTAGCAAAAATAAAGAGTTGCCCTCAAATTTGTTATGGGAGGACAGCAACACTGCAGCTAATTATTTCCCAGGTGTCTCTGGTCTGAATTTAGAAATGAGCTACTAATGGCAACATGTGGGATGGGCCCATCTTGACAGATAATTCATTATTATTGTTATCTTTAAGGGGACACTGTATCACTATTGAGCACCGACTCTGCCCATGGTACTGACTAGATTCATGGGAGTTCCACAGTATAACATGGGGTTATGCACTTGGGCTCTAGAGTAAAGACCTAGGTTTGATTTTTAGTCCTCCCTGTGTGACTTTGGGCAAACTGCTTGCGTTGGTTAACTTTGACTGTATAACAAAATATCCAGATTTAGTGGCTTAAAAAATCACCATGCGTTTGTTCATGATTTGATGGGTTGACAATTCAGCTGAGTTGAACTGGGATGACTTATTTTTGTTCTTCATAGTATCAGCTAGTCTCACACATACGTCTGGGGCCTTAGGTGGGACACTCCCCATCCCCATGTTATTTCTTTTCACCTAACAAACTATCCTGAGTTTCTTTACATAGTGGCCAAAATTTCCCAGCAGCAAGAGAAGGTAAGATCTGACTAGAAAGTATCTTTCAAACTTTGATGTCTATCACAGTTGATACTGTCTCATTGAATAAAGCAAGTCATCTGACCAAGCCTAGATTGAAGATTTAGAGATGCAGACTGTACTTCTTGAACAGACAGGCATATAGGGAGTTGTGACCAAATTTGGGACCATAACAACAATTTGTCATACGACCTCCAGATTCTTATTGGTGACATGAGGGTATCATAGTATCTACACACAGAGTTTTTGGAACTAAATGAAATAATTCATGTAAAGTGCCTAGCACAAGGTTCAATAAATGTCAACTCTAATATATTATTATCAATTAAGAAAGGAAGACAGAAGGAGAAATCAGGAAGAAGGAATAGAACAGAAGAAAGGGATAGGAGTGGATCTTGAAGGCTGAGGTAGGAGAGAGCTTTATGGAGGGCATGTTGATAATGCTAAGAGGAACGAATACTTAGTTGGGTCTTGGTTACCTGTTATCACTGACCTTTGAGGTGTTATTAGCTCTTCAACAATTTATTATTTTTTAAAAGATTTTATTTATTTATTTGTTAGTAAGAGAGAGAAAGAGATAGAG